TATTGGTACAGCTTGGCACAGGTTCGGCTTTCAGTAAAAGCATATGGGTGAAACGAGTATGACCAATGTATAACTTGTTAATAAAACTCTAAGTTCTGCGATCAACAGTCAATGTTTCACAGTTATCAAGATTAGGATAAATTCCATGCAATTAATTGTTTAGATTTGAATATAAAAATTATTAACGATAAAGTATTTTTATTCTGAACACTTTTAAACTTTTTTTTCTTCTAAAGAATGTATGCAAGTGAAGCATAAATTAAAAACTGCAAATCATAAAAATATATTAAGAAGGTGTGCTCAAACTTTTATAATTTTACCAGCATTATTCATTCTTTACAAGATATAGAAATAATGTTATAATAAATAATTTAAATGATTTAAACCATTAAGATTTTAAACAATTACAAAGCAAATTTATTATCGTAATTTACAGTTATTTTTCCTACTATAGTGTAAGTCTTGTTTTCTGGAAAACAATTACTAGAAAAAAATTTAAATTGTCATTACTAATCCCTAATTAAAAATGTAACTTTGCTATTAAATAGATGTCAGTAAGATACGTGACTTGAATTTCGAGAACTTCTATACTGCACTTTAAAAAAATTAAGAATATTCTCTTCTGTAACCAATTTAAATCCAGTTGAATACACCTACAAATTCATATTTAACGAAAGAAGTTTTTATTTCTTTTTTTAATAATATTATTTTTTAAAGAATATATTTTATTTTACTTACCAACACTTAACTCAAAGCTTCGTACACTCCAAAAAATTCGGGATAAAATTACGGTATAAAATACCTGCACTTAGGGTGCATTATCCGTAAAGTCTATTCTACTAAAAATCCAATTTTACCGTAATTGTTACTGTAATATGTATTGAATTAGAGCAATTCTGCGATACTACGATTATTACTACTGTAAAAATTATGGTATATCATATTTTTGTTCCTTAACATGTTCCGGTAAAAATAAATTTTACGTCAAAAAGCACCGGCACTCTGAGTGCGGGTACATTTTATAGAAATTAAAACTGGAATTTTTTACAGTGTATACTAACTTTTGCTGTGGAACCATCGATTCGTTAAGGTCACAGTTAAAATTAAAAATACTTTTCCATTAGGTTCTTAGAATTTATCAAAGTCTGTAAGTACATAAACTACTTATTTACGAGAATTACATATTTTATAAACAGATCATTTTATTAATAATGCGACTTTTTTAGATGAGCAACGTCGGATTTAACTTTTTTACATATTGTTGCTTTATGGCAAAGAAATGAAACAATAATGACAGAACTAAAAGTTTATAAAAAATAGTGAGGGACAGTGTCTTATAATTATCGTTTTACGCGTGTCTCATTGTTTGGCCAGCTCTGCTTACTACTGTTTAGAAACTGATTCTAACTCAATTTTGAAATGTATTTAATTTATTTTTTAATATTAATATAATTTCAATACAAGTTATTAAGCAGCACATTATGAAAATAATTCATATCTATTTATTTCAATCAAAATGTAAAGTGATTATTGGTGTCATAATCTTAAATTAAAAACAATTTAATTCTTTTCCATTCATAGTCATACATAAGGAAATTATATACAGCTAATATACACTTGTCAGACACACACACAAGAAAGTTAAGTTGACGCGCAATATATTTTAAAAAATTCTGGATAAAATGACGATATAAAGTACTAGTACTTAGGGTGTATCATTCGTAAAATCCATTTTACCGTAAAATTTCTTTTTTCAGTAAGATATTATACCGCAATTTTGATAGTAATATTTAGCTAGTTACGATGATTGAATATTTTTTGTTATATTTTATGTTCCGGTAAAAAGAGATTTTATGACAAAAATTACGGGCACAATGAGTGCCGGTGCTTTTTGCCGGAATTTGATCCGGAATTTTTTGCAGTGTTCTTAAAGTCTTCAGAACTAATAGAAGTTACATCGGCGTCATTTTGTGTGTTAGTTATTGTATTAAATATTGAAAACTGGTTATTAAATATTCAACGTTAGTTCATATAATAATTACCTTAGTGCAATCCTTTGAAAAAGTATTTCATCGTTTGGAAAATGAAATGCAGCAGCCGGAGGCCCCAGATATATGGTATATTTTTTCTTAACTTAATCTAACAAATGTCCCGGTATTCTCACTGAGTAACTTTCAAGGAAAGTCAATATCAATACTGGTTGGAGTAAAAGTTTGCCTATTTTTTTTTCCATTTTAACAACTCCGAAAATAAGAATTCTTCGGATCCCCGGAAATCGCATTGATTTTTTTTCCCACTCTTTTTTGACAAAAACTCTAGATTCCTGAGTCCTGAATGCAAAACAGGAATGAGAGAATCGGATTATTTATTATTTATTTGACCTCAGCTTTCATTATAAATTCTCACCACGTTTCACGACACTTCTAAATGCATTTGAGAAATTGAATAAGGAAATAAAGAATAAAAAACTTTGAAATTTCTCATTTTTCAATGTCTCCACTCAATGGTATTCCACACAAAATTTTAGAGACATGAATTTCTCAGCTTTAATCCAAAACAATAACTTCATAAAGAGGAAAAAAACAGATCAATATCTATCTAAAAAGAAAAGTTTTAAAATATTTATCCCAAAGTTATTTTAAGAGTTTCGTGGTTTACATCTCACGAAATTGTTTGACGTGTGTGAGTAACTTATTATGTAAATTTTAAAAATCTCAAACCCTTCTTTAGAACCATGGAACCTAAAGTTTTATTTAGAGATAGTAAAACTGAAATTTGTTTGAAAGTTGTCATATTTTAGGCGAGTAGTATGAACTTTTTTAAGAAAAAAATGTTTATGCTTACGCTTAAGTGCTTACTTATGCTGAAGTGCTGACTTTTCTTGGAAAATGACTTTAGAAAAATTATTTCTATCATAGATTTATAATAGATTGAATTGCCAACCTATTTTTTTTTTAAAATATGTTTTACTTTGAGGATTTTTAACACAGAAATATTCAATTGTACAAAAAAAAATACTTTAGCTATTAAATGAAAAGTTTTTGATAATGACATAAAAGCAAGCTAACTATCCCAACAATAAAATAATTTCGGTATAATAAAAATATTGAAAAAAAATGAAATTAAGAATGACATACAGATTCAAAACCCTAAAAAGGTATATCCCAAATTTCACCTAAGTTTTTGAAATTTTCACACCATTTATGAAAACAAATGTTATCAAAGGATTAAAATGTGAAAAAAGGAGAAATTTAGTTCACATTGACCTAATTTAATCATACTTAATCAAAATTGGTCTCTAAATATTTTAACTAAAATGCTCATTTGGGCCAGAAAAACCGTGACAATCATTTACTCGACATGCTATTCCATAGTTATTTCTCTATTTTACAATTATATATCAATAAATTAGAAAAAATAAATAAATAAAAAAATTATTAAAAAGCATGTTTTCTATCAAAATTACTTCAAACAAGAATTTAGAAACACTTCCCGCATGCGTAATGTCAGAGGTTTCAACTATGAAAGTTTTTGTTTTATAAATGAGGTTCAATTTAACCCTTTTTTACTTCCGTTGTCTTCGTAAAATGTTGAGGTACATTAAAGAAAATTCTTTAAATTAAGAATGATCTAGTTTGAATGACGGTCAATATGACGGTCAAATATGACGGTCAATTTGACAAATTGAATTTGATAGTGATGACCTGATTGATTTTCATTTTAAACAAATATTATTGAATAATAAAAGTGAATTAAATAAAATGTTTAATAGAACATATACTTAAAAGGATAATTTAATAGCAGCGAAAATAAAGCTATAACCCTTATTCCTGTATATAAAGTTTGATACTATTCAAAATACCTCTTCTAAGTTTTTACCAATAAAAAAGAAGAAAATCCGCCATATTTAACAAAGCTTTTCTTAAAGCCAGATAGAGAATAATTGTTTTGTTGCGATGTAACTTCAAATCATTACAAGGAGCAAACATTTCTGTTAAATTAACGTACTATGTGGTGTGACATTTTGGATAAAACAAAAACCAAAATTCTTGTAATGAAGACTACAATATACAATATTTAAACCATTCATTTGGTAATTTATCCGTTTATACAGAAATGGTTTAACTGGAAATTCCAGTTTTCATAGGAACAAGTTCTAATTACAACATATTTAATAAAATACAAAACTGTAATTGAAATTTTAACGAATAAATGGTTTTATGCTTTGTTCTAAAGTATCATAGTAAAGTTACAAATTTCACCACATTTACCGTATTTATCATATTTTATGAAACCATATTTTATTGTTAATTTATTACAATATATATTGCTAAATATTGGCAACATTTTACAATATTGGTACGTATTGTAAAATATTACCAAAGTGCTTCGGTAAAAAGTATCGACCTTTTTAGAGTTCCCATAGAGCCAAAATCATGGTTAATTTCCCAAATTCTGGCAGTTTTAACTATACTTTTTTATTCAGTGAAAATCGTTACAAATTCAATTAATATTTTAAAAATCATTAATAATAGTAATTAAATAAAAATACAAAAGTTAAATTACTCTTTTCTTAAACTTCAATACTTTAAGCATTGAAAACGAAAAATATTTTATATTATTTCAATAAATTTAAGAATCCTAAATAATTATTATTTCTTACAGTAAAGTTTAATCATGTTAAACTGTTAAAAAAAATAACTGAATAAGATGAGAATAAAGACTTAGCACAGAAAAAGTTGAAAACTGCAATTATTTGCTTCATAATTAAAAAAAATATAGCAAAATATTACAGAACTTTCATAACGCCTCTGTTCTTAATGTCTTTACTGCACCCACGGGCAAAAATACGAACGTTTATTACGTAGCTTAATGATTCACTTAATTAAAAAACTTACTTTTTTCGTTTTTCGTTCTTAATTATTTCTCTTTTAACTTAAAAAACGTTTTCGAGAAAAAAAAACCTTAAATAAGGAAAGATTAAACGAATTGTAGAAAATGGCCTCCAGAAAAGAAAAAAAAAACTAGCAGTTACCAAGAATTGATGAAATCACGACGTCTGTCTTTCGAAAACTTGCGATTAAATACATTCGGTGAGAAAAAAAGAAAAGAAAAAGAAGACACAGAAGACAGTCTGGCGGGAATGGGGCGTTGGTAGCGCCCCCGTCTTGCGCTGAAGAGAAGGGGCGACACAAGAGAAGCATTTCTCACCAACGGTGGACGTATTACTTTTCGTTGTCTGTGTGCGCCCCAGCTACCGTTAGAGTTGATGATTGTCTTTCCTTAATTATTGGGTAAGCTGATTTGAATATTAAGTTTGTGATTTAAAAAAAAGAAAATATATTTTTGTAGTTTATAATTTCAATATTATATTTATGCTGCCGTCAAAATAACATTTATTTTACTGTAAAAATAACTTAAAGTGTAACTTATGCTTCTTCTTTTATTTCTATTAGTAACACCACTATACAGTAAAGGCTACTGACAACTTTAAATTCATTTTTCATTTCACTAAAAATATTTGATGACATCATAAATTTCAACTTCTTCTTGGAAAAATAAATTACAAACAAATATAAATTATTCATAATTATCACACAATTTTCAATTTAAGTCGCTATAAATATTTCAATCTATGCATTGTTCTCGACAGTTTCTTTTAAGAAAATAATTGCGTAAGAAAATCTGATTATATTGTACTATATTATCGAATTTTTTTTTATGCTAAGAAATTCAATAAAATATAGATCAAGATATTAAAAAATGAAACACCGGTGTACCTGTAAAAAATAAACTCAATTTTCATTGTTTTAATAAAACTTTTGATAAAAATTGCAGTACTATCCAATGAATTCAATTTTAAATTTCACATTCCTTATGAACTTACATTCACTTTTTTTTAAGGTGTATTGACGCGGGTGTAATAAACCAAATTTATTTTCTGAAGAAAACGAAACTAGTAATAACCTAATTAAACGAAACGTAAATTATTAACTTTAATATTTTTATAAAAATATCGGAAATTTTATGTATTACTCAAGATTATTTAAATATCTTTGATATGAAGAATCAAAAAAAAAATGCATGTCACAAAAAATTATAGCTATTTTCACTGTTACATAAAAAGTCAAGGGAAATTTTCTCCTTGAAGTGAGTGATAGTAAAGTTAAGTAAACAAAAAATCTGATATACAGTAATTTTTACAGTAATAATTACAATGAAATCACTGAAACTCTTTAGTTAAATAAATAATACAGTAAAAAGTACAGTGTAATATTTTTTTCGGCAGAAATGTATTTTAAGATAAAATGGATTTTAACTATACATTAAGCTATATATCCCTTCCCCGAATCCTCCCTATTCCTTCACTATATATTCTTTCACACTTTTTTTGTCCTATAATACGAAATAAATATAATTCATGATACATTTAATGTTTTAAAATATCTCAGATTGAACCATTTTATATATTTACATGCATATGCTCGGTTTAAAATACGGATTGTAGAAAAAGAAAATATTGGCTGTACATAATAAATTTTATTTCAAAATACCCGAAAATATTTTTTTAAAAAATCATAAGATATAAATTCTGTAAGTCTTCGATATTGCTGTAAACAATATATTGAGCGTCGGAGCGCCATACATCACAAAGCAATTTCAACTATTTACTGTTATAATAACTGGACTTAATTACATGGATTTAAATTTCACCAAATTGGTTTAAACATTCATCTGTCACGCTCTTAAACAATTCGAGAAAATACCCTTCAATGGGCAAACATATCTAAGGAATAATCCATCCAGCTTATTCACTTCATCCGAGCAATTAAAATGATTTATTACGCATCGCATTCCAGTTGCAGAATGCGCATCAGAGACTGTTCCAGTTTCTGCATCTCCTAATACTAAATCTGTGATTCAGATGAGAATTGATGGACGGTATTTAGTGTGAAATTTCACGGAATGTAGCCTCATGCAAATAGAATCTTCCCTTAAAGGTCCTTGTCATTCCAACAAAGACTGCAATGTCTTTGGGTGTCACCATTTCAACAATGAACGCTGTATATAGCTGCTTCATATCAAGGTTTAATTCTAAAGCTTAGGATGAACTAGAAGGCCTAAACGTTTGCTAGTGATCATTTAGTTAATCCTACCATGCTCAGAGCAGCCAATTTTTATGTTTTTGCTAGTGATTGTAAAACGTATAACAACTATTATTATTTATTTACTATTTAATTCCTTAATCTCGCAGAATTTTGGTCCCGCAGTGGACTGATCGTTAAGACACGGTTCCCAGCAGATCACCGAAGTCAAGCATCACTGGCTACGGTCAGTGTGCGGGTGGGTGACCACTTTGATCAGTCTGCGTAGGGACCGAGGGTGTGCGGTATTGGTCCTCTCTGAACTGTGCTACCGTAAAGTGCTCGACTTCGCGCGCAGGTCGTCGGGCTACCGAAGCGGGGGTGCCACCCCCCCGCAGAGGATCAAAATTGTGATGGCATGTCTTCGGATCATCCTCCGGGATGTTTCCCAGACCGTCGCCAATAGTCCATTGTGCAGCTCTAGTGCGACGTAAATGAACAACAAGAACAAGAACTCGCAGAATTTTGAGCTCATTTGTAAATAAAGAAATTTGCTCTACCTCTCTCTTTGTATATATATTGTACTATACTGCATTTTATAATAAAATAAAGGCAAAAAGGATAAAACAAAGAGAAATTAACGAAGAAAATTAAGAAAAATAAAATTAATAAATCAATAATAATTAATTAATTTAATTAATAAGTAATTAATAGTATTTTATTAATATTTTCTTCTTTTCTTTTAAAAAATCTTTATATTTCTTTCCATGTTTTCTCTATATTTCTCCATATTCCTCTATATTGGTACACTGTGCCAGTTACCTTTATAATTTATTTGCATTTATTATATCTTGCGTTTTATTTAGGCTTTTATAATACGTTTTTAAAATAAAGAATATAGTTCTAACGATTTGATACGTGATGTGTAAAGTCACCGAGCAGGAATGAAAGGTCAGGATAAAAATTGCCATCGAGTTGACATTGTGAACAACTGGTGCGGCTTTCAGTAAGTTGTTATGACTAAAACGGAAATGACCGATAGTCGGCCTATTTGCTAAAACCTGGGTTTTACGATAAACGGCAATTGTTTTAAAGTTATCAGGAATAGGATAAATATCATGTAATTTGGTTTGTTATTGATTTTTGCATTCCATAATGTACCAAGGATTTACAAATTCAAAGGTCATAAGGGGTTAGGAAATTACTATTTAAAATTTTGAATTGTTTTAGCTATAGTATCGACTATAATTCTTCGAGTATGCTGACATGTGAAGGCAGTCATATTAAGAACACATAACGGAGCAATATATTTTTATCATTGAGTCCATATCAGCACACCATGAACAGTTAGTGAGGACTTTTAGAATGTTTAGCGAATGAGAGCATTTTTTTCCAATATAATTTATGTGTGATTCGACCGTTAGTTTGGAATTAAAAATCAGTTCCAGGAATTTCCTTTCATCAGCAACTGAAATGGCTTTATTATTTAGCGTAATTTAAGGCGGAAGATGTAGTTTTTGTCTACTGTAAGAATGAACACACATTAAGTTTTTTGGCGAAAAGAAAACATGAAACTATTTTCTCATTTGCTCATATTAAAATTTTATTCTCAAATAGTAGCATTTGTCATCAAATGTGTATAATATTTGTAGATCGTAATGAAATCCGAAAATAACCTTCAAAGAATTCACCATTTATTGTTGCAAAGATTTAATTTAGGAAAAATACCGTTCAATTTCAATATGAAAAGAGTATCATACTTAAAACACTTCTTCAAGGAGGGAACACCTTATTCCTCAGGAAAATTCCGTAAAATTCATCACATAAAGGAAATTTTTCTTAACCGTAAAATTTCTATTAGATAAAAGGTTTGATAAAATAAAATATATTGCCACCTAATCCACTGTTAATAACCTGTTACCTTCATGTTCTGTCATTAAACCACTCCATGTGAAGGAAAATGGAAGGCATATGTTGATTTTTTTAGAAAGACATAAAAGATACGTTTGAAGTTTCATTTAGTTGTCCATGGTGCTTCGACCATTACGAGAGTCATTTTAGTATTGAAAAAGAAGAATATGGATTTCAAGTAAAAACACAAGAAGCCGATTCATCATTTTTTCAAAAGTTTTCAAATACAGCTTGTAAAAGCAATAGGCCAGTAACTTATGTTTTCCGGATTTTATCAAGGTCTTAGAAAGGAAATCACATAGGCGGTTGGCCAGTTTTCTGAGAAAAGTCTTTCTATTCATATCCGATTTTTAACATGAAATTTTTTAATAAATGTTTCATATTTTTTTCCAATAATTTTACTGAATAAGCAATAAATCGATAGAAAAAATGTCAGAGAAAATTAAAATATTAAATCAGATATACCTTAAATATTAAATCGGAAAAAATGAAAATTCGGAAAAATATATATTCCCGTTTTCACCAGTTTCAATTGACACAAAAGTTTAAGAACAAATAAAAATGTTTGCACAAAAAAAAGAAAATATTTAATTTTAATAATTGATTTAATAAACCGTTTTTTACTCACAAGAACAAGCAGATTTATACAAAAAAAATTTATATTTTCTTGATCAATATACAACCTTGATGTTTTATTGGTTGAATATTGATCAATCTGTATATTGATCTTGGTATATTGATCAATATATATTGATCTTGGTTGCAGAATTGATCAGTACTGTTTTCCGTTCTCGTATACAGCTTGTAATACGATACATCACATACTCCAAGCATTTTCGATGGGCTTATATCAGAGCTAAGTGCAGGTAATTTTAAAATTGCTATATTTTTAAGTTCTAAGCCATTGATTTCATAACCATAGATTCATAAATACTAGCATTGTCTTCTTGAAAACACATTTCAGCCTTCTTAATATATCTCTGAACGGTACTAGATAGCTACTTTCTATGCTTTGAGAGTCAAATAAGTTTCCACGACCATTCTGAGTTTTCACTAACGTTAAACTTGTTTGTCCATTGAATTCGAAGAAACTCCAAATCGAAAGTAAAGATCCGCCATTTTGTCTGCTAAATATGTCGCTTCGTCCTTCTCTTAGATTATTCCAATAATAACAATTGTCTTCCAGAACAATAAATTACATTGTTTTTTCATCACTGAACTGCAACATTATAACATTTATAGCCGTATGACATGACTTAGCGGGTCCAATCTAGTCTCGCTTGTTTCTGATGCAATTT